GGGAAAGAGGAGATCACAGCTTGAAAAAAGGTTCCCGTGTTAGGCATTGCTCAGTATTCAAAGGATAATACAGTAGCAATCTGGCTTGCAATGGGCAACTTCTTCACCAAAAACATAAAAAATCCCATCACAGCTTCCACCTTCACCACCGAGCAGCATTTAGATTTCTCTGGGGGAATTCACTCCAGTTTAATTTAATGCAGTATCATATTAGAAATGCAATTAGAAGAATGCCTGTTGATATATTGCGGCAGTATCCATGAAAACATAAGCTCCTCTGACTGGGGTCTCACTCGAACGGCTAAAAGGAAAGTCTGAATGTTTGGAAATTATAAATATTATGGGGGAAACAGCAGAGCAGATTACCTGGCACATGACAGATATATGACTGACTTCTGAATAATGTGTGGAAAATAGGATTGATTACTCTTCCATCTGCTTTTTAATGATCAGAATTCGCCATAATTTAAGTTAAATATATTAAGTGAAGATTTAAGTTACCAAGACTTAGTAAGATGGTCGTCATATTAAATACTAATTTATTATTTCAACATGTGGAAATTATCAGTTATTCAGCTTGCATAATTAATCAGATGCTAAAACCAAATAGATACAGGGGTTGAAAAAAGTAAGTACCAAATACTAAGTTATCTAGAGAGTCATGACTGATCTTAACTTTATAAGGGATCCAGGCAGGAGTAAAAACCACTTATCCCCACACACCCAGTGCAGACACGATCCCCTTTTATCCCGGGCAGCTGCCCTAACTCTTTGCCACAAGACTAGCCCTTCACGCGGTACGGACGTTAAACAAAGGGGACATACAGCCAACTTCTCCACTTCTTTCCAACGCTAGTGCCAGCACTGGGGCCCGCTCCTGCCCAGCAGCGACCGGCAAGTCACTGGGCCAGGTGTCTTCAGGCCAAGTTGACGTTGGGACAATCAATAATACAAGGGAATTAGCGTAAGACCTCTTTGAGGGGAACTGGAGGCAGCACATCTTCCAGAGGGAGAAAAACACCCTAGCAGTGATTGAGGGCTGAGATGGGAAGCAAGTGAGAGCTTACGTCCTGAGGACATGTTGCACGTAGAAACGGATTCTTCAATATATTTAAGATGATCCTAACAGTAATCCTAACAGTAATCCTAACAGTAATGGCAGGACGAATAAGAGCCCAGGGTAGGAGGAAATTAATATAAAAGTCAGCTCAGGTACAAGAGGGCTGGCTTAAAGATGAAATGTAACTAGCAAAGCACCAGCTGCAAAACCAGGTCAAAGAAGAGAAAGATGATGAATGATATAGAAACGGGAGGGATCAAGAAGCATGCCTTTTGATTTGAGTGTGCCTCACAATAAAATACAAGCATTAAAGGCAAAATTCTCCAATCTGAAATCACAGATCCCTGACAGCAAATAAGGAAGGTAGAAACTGCAGCTCTGCTCCTGTTCCTGTACTGTCATTGCTCCCAGATTCACTTTGCTACATGAGAAGGAGAGTACGAGGCACTGAGATATTTTTATCCCTTTGGATCTAACAGTAATTTTTCATCCAGGCACCTCTGAGCAATCGAACTGTAATTAGCAGTGACTGATACTGGAGGAAATCAGTGCCTGAAATGCTGAGTGACCCATCACCACACTAAGTTGCAGCTTGGGGAAACACCACTGATGGAAAAAGTGGTGAGGTGTATCCAAAGGCATGAGGTACAGTCAGAGGAGAAGCAGGGGACACACGGCAGGTGTGGAGGAAGTGAGGGAGGGGGACAGAGAAGAAACAGTTCACAATACTGACCTGTTTCAAAGTCTCCAGCGCTTGAGGAAACATATCTTGACTGTACTGCAGTTTGCCCACTCGCATCAGCTGGACAGCCCTCAGCGGATGGAAACCAGGATAATACAGTCTGCAGAGAAAAAGGAGGAAAATGTGTCACTGTCAGCTCTCACCTTCACAGTCACTGCCTCTGCAGAGAGCTATTAGGGTGGGACTACAAAGTCATTGTGAATGTTAATAAGGTACTCAGAGAAAATTAGCTGCACTACTGAGAAGCATGAAATACTGAGGGGAATTAGCAAATTATTACTCTCCATCCCAGAGGAATGCCTTTAACATTATCCTGTTAGAAAGTGACGGCAGTGGGATTATTTAATTCGCTACTGTTGGATAATACAATAGCATTTACTGTACTTAGTGCTGCAAACAGAGGTCATTCACAATCCCAGGTCTCTGGAGAGGTATAATTTTAAGAGGAAGCTACAGCAAGGAACCCAGTCCTGGATCCTCCAAGGTGAAGGAAAGGTACTGCAGGGAAAGCAGGTATGTAACATCGCGGCCACCATTTCTGAGGGTTTGCTTGCTTGCTCCCTGTTGGAGAAAGAACTGCTGCTGCACGTTCAGGTAAACGTCTCAAACTTGGCTTGTGCATCTAGACAAGGTATCTGCTAGTGTGAGGATACACTCCCATTCTTACTCAATTAATTTCATAGAAGCAGAGGTTTTCCATCAATCTCACTGGAGTTAATAAAATCAGAGCTATGCTCTCTTTTTTTTCTAGGAAGTAGATGGAGATCAATGTCATCATCAATTATTCTTTGAAATGTCCATGTGTTCACGGTGGCCAGTCTGCATTTCCAAATCCCGCCGGTCCTTGGCTCGCAACACCTGGATTCCACCCCATCCCTGTGATCTGGATGTGTAGAGCACAGCATCTCAGAAGAGCAACCTGGGGGCTGCAGAAAGCCATGGACATGACTTACCTGGAAGTGGTCAGCAGGCAACATGA